AAAACTCAGAAAGTATATTAACAGTTTGTATCTTCATATTAAAGTTTTATATGGATTATATACGTCTAAACTTGAGCTATTTATACATATCCAATAAAACTTCTTTCGATAATGTATTTTATATTTTAGATCAAAAATACCATTGACAGCGATTTTGTCGTTGGTAGTATATTATCTTTGGTTTATCCCTTATGGACATATTCGTTTTTCGTTTTGCGTGTTAATGTTTATTTTTTCCATCTTTAGTTTTTGTTGTACTGTTAATTTTCCATCAAACAGTTCCAAAGGTTGAAAATGATCGGTAGACAGACCGTAAGTTGCCTCCCATATAAATTACCGATCGTACATAAACATTAAACTCGTTCTACATATATAGTCATTTTTTTGATACAAGATTTAAATCATGCTGAAATTCCGCATGCAAAAAAGAAAATATCAATCCGAATAATGTCAATCCTTGTCATGAAAAACAAGATAATGATTCACATCATGTTGACGTTCTGCATATAAATCAACGTTATGCTAAGAACTTTTTTTACAACAGAGTTTAACTAGAATTCTACGTCTCTAGAAGAACCGTGTTTCACGATGTAGGGTTATCCCTGCATCTAAATGACAAATATTAGCACTATTCGGGTGTGGATGTGCGTATTGGTACATGATTTATGGTGATTCTCATGAGAAACCTTGACATTGTTCTCATTGATAATTTTTTGTACACGTGGAACTTCAACATGATTTAAATCATTATATTGTTCTTCATCACAAAAATTGAAATGAATCTGAGTGATATTTTCCTCAGCACGCAAAATGTCAAAATGACTCAAATCATTATATTGTTCTTTATGACGAACTCTCTTAAATATATTGATTAAAATCTTCCTGAAACTCGTCAACATTAGCATTACACTAAAAATTTACTTCTTTTAGGAATAAGTGAATGTAATGAACGATAAGTCTGCTAGAAAGTCAGAATTCTGACAAAATTCTGCTGGGAAAACAAAATTCTAAGCAGAATTTTGTTTTAGGTGCTGGGATAAGTATGTAAGATCATACAAAATTCTGCAGGTGGTATAGAATTCTGACAAAATTCTGCTGGAAAAGCACGATTCTGCTTAGAATCTTGATTTCAGTGGAGAGATATGTGCATATAATGAAACACAATTCTGATGTAATGAACAGAATTCATAATAGAATTATTATCGTTTTACTACGTTATTATAAGAATTTTATTAATATAAAGAGATTGCGGATGTAAATAATGATACATGTATGCACAATACAGAATTCTTAAATTCTGCTTGTGAGAGTTCTGCCACCCTCGTTCTTTGCATAACGTCTGTTTTCGAAGTCAGCGAATAACAGAAGTGCTTCAGCTGATACCAGTGAAGATTTGTTTTTCAAATAGTCTCCTATTTTTAGATATTGAGGTCAAGCTTTATTAGCAGGAATGGTTGCGATTCTCAATATTCTGATGATCGTTTCTACTGTTACAGCAGCAATCATTGAATTACCAGTAGAAAAGTTTTCGTATAAAAGAGAAGTTTATTCTAATACCAATCAAAGTAATATAATGGCTTCTTCTGTTGACTCGAATGATTTTACTTGAATTTAATTTCAGATGTACTTGCCGTCTCTGTAACATATGGAACTAACATCACGACTTTGACATCATCAAGAATAAGTAACATCAGCGGGTTCGTTCACCAGGTATGTCTCTATGTTTGGTTTAAACTGTGGTACTGATTGTTAATGTTCAGCTTGGCACAATATACGGTCTTGAGGAAAGCATCAATCCAACAATTGATTATAGCTTTATTGATACAAATGATGCACCAGTCAGCGACGGAAAACGAAGGTCACTCACGACATTTCGTTTATTACTCGCATGTGCATGATGCCCTTTTTTGTTATTATAGATCTACTCATACGCAACACTGTGAAGACAGCTTGAAATCGGTCCATGTTATGTTCAACGTTCAATTTTCAATCATGATTTCTACATCATATAAAAACGAAGACGAACAACAGATATTTATTCGAACAATTGTTGCTTCTATTAATTCTTCTCATCCAAAAGTGCTTATTTCACTTACATTCGAAGATGATCAGACAAAGTCGATTCTGTTAACATTCTGCTCATTGGAACAAATCCTCGGTATATCTCATATTCAATCAAAGGTTTCCACTATTCATATTCTGAGTCTAATACACAAGATAAACTGTATAGTTGCTGCACTTACCTGACAGAAGACGAAGCCTTGATAATTTCGATGACAAACTCGATTTATTTGATTGACTCGGAAAATCGAACAGATTTTGACACCTTACTTTGTCTTTCTCAATCGAGAAGAAATAGTTCACTACCTGATGAGTAGGTGTAAAACTTCGAATGATTCACCAGATACGATGCGATGAAACCAATTAGAATAATTGGAGTTTCATAGAAATTATGACTGTCTCTGTTCACCACTGATATTTATCTGCAATTGAGTCGAATAAGTCCTAAATAAGGAATAAATGGTAATTAGGTGCTTAGTACAGAACTTTTGTTAATATTCGAATGCATTTATACTGATAGTATCATTGTTTATATAAAAATGGTTCTCAGTATCATCGAATCTGTTCTAGCTAGATTTTTTAAAATATCGACTCTGCCATAGAATTTGAAATATGATATGAATTGCTATAATCAGAAAGCATTGATTATTCATAGAAAGCTGCCATTCTAAGTGAAAATTGTCATACTTTAGTTATAGTAGCAAGGAACAATGAAACTACAATTGTGCTCGCAACTGGAAACAATCATAATAAATATCCTCACTATTGATTTATTTGCAGCTTTGCAATGATTCGATGGCATTATTTCTGCGTCTATAAGATCTAGTAATGCATCTGTAGCTCGGTTTAAGTTTTCAAGACTAACCTAATGACATTAGAACAAATAATTTAGCATGGATTCTAGGAAAATGTAAATGCTAAAGTAACATGATCAAACTAATGTAGGAAATAAAATTATGACTGGGACAAAAAAAATCATTCGTGTTTGTAAATCGAGTGAGAATAGAAGACTTCAGCTTCCACAGTTGTCATGAATGTCAATAAATAAGGATGAGATCAGACGTAAGTCTGGAATAGTTAGCTTGAACCAGATTATAGTAAATGAGATTTTTCTAGTACTGTACTTACCGATTTCAAGCTATTTCGAGTTGAAATATAAGAAGTGAATGGAAAACAGCTGATGTATCTCAGCTAAATATTGATGATAAAACACAAGTAGAGTTATGTATTCTCTGAAAGACTTGGATTTATACTTTATTTTGACCAAGCCGATAAATAGTACTGTGGATAATGGCTCAGTGAACTAAATTCTACGCATCTTCCTGAGCTCGAAACCGCATTTACGAAAGGATACTGCAATGTTTTGCTATACATGGATAGTGAAGATGTTCTTTTGAAAGAATGTTAATTATTTCTTCTTATTGCTATTTACTGCTATGGTTTTAATTGTTTTCCACTGAGAGATTTCATCTTTAGCTTGTTTGTCATCTATCTAACCTACCTATTGTCTAGTTCTGGTAAACACTTCTGATGTTGGGGACCAACTATCGGATTGGTGACAGTACTTGGACATAATAAAAATATCTGATCAGTAAAACACAGTATATTAGAAACATTTTGGAATATTCTTGCAACTCATTCGAAATGTCATGTTCAGTCAAAGCTCTATTCGATAGAGTATTTTAAGATTAACCTGAAGAGTTCAAACTGTTCAATTAATTCTTTATATTAGTTCCATTTCACGCGATGGATAAAGTAGCTGCTAATACACCACCGGAGAAGACAACAACAACCAAGCCAACAACGATTAGAGCAACGAAGATAGTAACAACTAAGCCAACAACGAGCAGAACGACGAAAACAACAACAGCCAAGCCAACAACAATCAGAACAACGAAGACAACAACAACAACAACCAAGCCAACAACGAGCAGAACGACGAAGACAACAACCATCAAGCCAACAACGATCAGACCGGCGATAGGAACCACCGCAACTGAGACAACAACAACCAAGCCAACAACGAGCAGAACGACGAAGACAACAACCATCAAGCCAACAACGATCAGACCGGCGATAGGAACCACCACAACTGAGACAACAACAACCAAGCCAACAACGAGCAGAACAACGACAACAACTACTACAATCACAGCTGCTTCCGGTAAGTGATAGTTTAAATAGTTAAATAGTTCTTGTTACAATGATTTAATGAAACGATTTTGGGCATTTGAAATTTTTGAACGCTGAATATTGAGTGACCATCCAAACAAGTAAAAGTTACACTTCCAATCATGGCTCAAAACGTATCGCCCACTCAATCCATAGATATGGCTCCATGCATAATGTTCTCTTGTCAGTATTCCGCATACAATTACTCGTTAGCGACACTTACTTTCGCTACATTTGCTCTTCAGACTCATATTCGGCAACATTGTCTGCTCCTTTGAAAAGCCTGAAAGATTTTTGAAAAAGAAACAGGTTCGCACAAATTAAGAGAAGCAGCTGAAAAATTATAAATCTATACAAGAATACGTCTGTATTTTAACTTGGCTGAAAAGAAGACACAAATTGACATTCGCACCCTTTAAAGCACCGATAAGTCAAAATTCAAACTATTTTAAACGAGCTTATGCGCTTATATTTTCACAAAAGTACGACCATATGTACACTCACAGACTAATCAATGAGAGTTCTGTTAAGTGCCGTTGAGGAGCGACTATCCTTGAGAAACAACTATCTATCGAGATGAGTTTTGTTTTCTCTTCATCCACACCTACATTTGCACTGGTTTATAACTATTTTAAGTGCTTCTTAAATGAAGCTGACCTGCAACTCTTCAAAAACTTTTCAAAGATTGAAATTGAGGAGATACTGATGCGGAGCATTTGTCAACACAGCAACACTAGTGTTATCTAACACTCTGAATCATGATGAGTATAGTAGCGTTATCATCATTACGACTTTTTTCTTACTAGTACCAGCATAAACCAGTCAGACTGAACTGGTCAGTAGACCAGCATGAGTCATCGTTCACTATTCTCCTTATGTAAGAGTCAAATCAACATCTATATTAGTCATACCTACCTTTCAATCGCCACAGAAATTATGTCAAACTTTGACCCTATTATTGCAGTATTTATGTGAAGCATGATTATCAATGAGTGTTGAAGTATACAGCAAGAAAATTGATCGTATCTTCCTCAGTTCACTTCAAGATTCGCGATAAATATGCCAATGATCTTTAAACCGATTACAAGAGATTTTGATACATTTGTTATGATTTAGCAAACTTTCCAACATGTTCGATTTTGATTTCGGTCTGGTATGTCACTGGAGGTTCAAATTTCTCCAAGGAAGAGAAAGCGTTAATCCTGTAATTAAGGATGGATCGAGTATAAGTCAAAGCTATTCTTGGCAAATTCTTAGTGATGGATGGTCTAGCATTAATAAATGATAGGAGTATATCAGTTTAAGTTCATTCTATGTAAGAATGTCGAATAATAAAGACCGAATACTTCCTAATACTTCATTAGTAGTCACATTCTAATGTATAGTGAATCTTTTTGGATCCAGTATGAGACAGACATATATAAAATGATCTCAAATCAGTATGTTCAGTTCGCACAGTGATAGTAAGGTCCATTTAGCTCAGAAACTCTTAATGGTAGCTTTTACATACCCTGTGAATACGGTGAACTATAAGTGAAGTACGGAAGTTTTGCTTTTTCTTCCTTGAGTTTCCAATATACTCAAGGATATCACCATCCTATATAATATTTTAATCCTGCAGTGGAATTCTATTGAAAGGTTTTTCACTTTTGGCATCTATTGATCAACATAGAATTTCATGAGCTCGAACTGACTTGATGAAATCTATTAGCCGCATTTTGATAAATACTTACTAAATAACAATTTTCTACTACATGTCCGACATACACAAATAGTCAGGAACATCAGTAAGAATGGCTGGATTTGAGAAAACAATCACCACTATGATGATTTTTGGAAAAACTAACGATAACATTGAAAAAATCTGCTCCGACCGATCTGAAACAACCTGTATCTATCACTCTCAGGAAATCTTAGATCAGATTGACTAATTACTGCTCCAGTTAAAATACTATGCTGATCAAATCCATGTACTCATAATTAGAAGCGGGTCTAAATTTCAAATTTCTCGACATTTGATAATGAAGACATTTCTTGAAGGCGTCTCCATTTCTTAAAAACTGCATTTTTGAACCATTCGAGAAAATAATGTTATCAGATAGACAAATTTTTCACGAACCAGTTTCCAACAACTTTTCAGACTACATGTAGAATGGAAGACGAAATCTGCTAAGATTCTGCGTTACCAATTACAGATATGGGTGTAAGTGTAGTCGGAAGTGAAAACGTTCCCACACTTACAGCCATCCGTCTCTTATCACTACGATTGTCATATCGACTTGCAGCTTTTAAAAGCCTTGCCGAGCTCGAACTTTTGTGAGAATTACAGCGCAGTTCATCGGAAGAAATTCATCATTTTGAATTGCCGGGTAGTTAACGTTATTCATCGTATTTCATTTTGGCGATCACACTTTTGTAAGATAGGGCGCTGTCTTTTGTTTAAAATACAATTAATGCAATTCGATTTCAGCATTGTTCCACATCTTTATGAAACACATATATTTCAGATAAAGATAATAAGCATGAATTACAAAATATATTTTTGTTGCTCGTCAAATCCATACCTAGAAAACCTACATCCTCTGGATATCAACATATCACCAAGGCTTTAAAAAAACGAAGCGTGTCGAAAATCAGTGCGACCACGTTTGAATCAAACATCTCTAATCGAACACTTTTATCTATACGAAGTTATTCGTATTGTACAGCGACGCATTTAGGTGCGTATCTTACGACACTTAAAATTTTTCTCTGAAAGGAAAATGTGCTCATGCATAGATCAGCAGCTTCTGGATATTAACACCAAAGTTGTTTCAGGGGCAGTCTTTTTTCTAGAATGGTCTAAAGTCAGTAATATGAACTCAGCGCGATCGGATCACACGGCAACAACGCTAGCTGACGGGAAAGTGTTAGTTGCTGGTGGAGACAACGGCTATTTCGCATTGAACACTGCAGAATTGTTCGATCCATCCACAGGACTATGGACGATGACTGGCAACATGACTAGTGTTAGGGACGGCCATAGAGCATCGATATTGGCCGATGGAAAAGTCTTAGTTACTGGTGGATTTGCTGATGGCCTCCACGAGCAGGATGCAGATCTCTTCGATCCATCAACAGGACTTTGGACATACACTGGCAAAATGAATGCATTGCGACGCGGTCATACATCATCGACATTAAACAACGGAAAAGTCTTAGTTGTTGGCGGAATTTACGGCAGTTTATATTGGAACACTGCAGAACTGTTCGATCCATTAACAGGACTTTGGACAGTCACTAGCAATATGAGTACTTCACGTTCGTATCACACAGCATCGATACTAAACAATGGCAAAGTCTTAGTTGCTGGCGGAACCAACCGTAATGGTAGTTTGAATACAGCAGAACTATTCGACCCATCAACAGAACTTTGGACACACACGAGCAGCATGAGTATTCCACGTGACAGTCACGTAGCAACGACATTAACCGATGGAAAAGTCTTAGTTGTTAGAGGGGCGTTTTCCAGTAACCATGACAGGATGGCAGAAATTTACGATCCATCAACAGAACTTTGGATGCTGACTGGCAATACAAGTATTGCACGACTCAATCCGACAGCATCAACACTAACCAATGGCAAAGTCCTACTTGCTGGGGGATATAATATCGAAAACTATGGAAATACTGCAGAACTTTTCGATCCATCAACAGGACTTTGGACATATACTAGTAGAATGATTACATATCGCTACAATCACGCAGCATCGATCCTAGCGAGTGGAAAAGTCTTAGTTTCTGGTGGACGTGAGAACATTATCTATCAAAACACTGCTGAGTTGTTCGATCCATCCACAGGACTTTGGATGCAGACTGGCAGCATGACTACTTCGCGGTATGATCATACAGCATCGCTACTAGTCAATGGAAAAGTGTTAGTTGCTGGTGGGCAGGACAGAAATACCTATTTGAATACCGCAGAACTTTTCGATCCATCAACAGGGCTTTGGATAATGACTGGCAGCATGAGTATTCGACGTTATAGTCACTCAGCGTCGAGGCTAGTCAATGGAAAAGTTTTAGTTACTGGTGGATCTGAAAACGGATACCTTCAGAATACTGCCGAACTGTTTGATCCTTCAACAGGACTTTGGACACAAACGGGTAACATGAGTACTATGCGGTCGCATCACACAACATCAACGCTAGCGAATGGAAAAGCTTTAGTTGTTGGTGGATTAACCTATGGTACTGCTGTGAATACTGCCGAACTATTTGATTCCACAACAGGACTCTGGACACAAACGGGCAGCATGAGTGCTAGGCGATCGTATCACACAGCATCGACACTAGCGAATGGAAAAGTTTTAGTTGTTGGAGGATTAAGCTATGGTGTCTCTCTGAATACTGCCGAACTATTCGATCCCACAACAGGACTCTGGACACAAACTGGCAATATGAGCATCAAACGTGCTGAACACAAAGCATTGATACTAGCCGACGGTAAAGTATTAGTTGTTGGTGGAGATAGGGATGTCTACTCGGTAACTACTGCAGAACAATTCGATCCAGCAACAGGACTCTGGACAATGGCTGGGACCATGTCAGATTGGAGATTTGGTCATTCAGCGTCGACACTCTCTGATGGAAAAGTCTTAGCTACTGGTGGATATCGGGGTGGCCGTGATGGGAAAAGTGCAGAACTTTTTGATCCATCAACAAGAGTTTGGACACGGACTGAAGAGTTGAATATTGGACGAGAGCACCACACGTCATCACTGCTATCCAATGGAAAGGTGTTAGTTGTTGGAGGGCTTAGTCCATATGGTCAGGTTGTGAATAGTGCAGAATGGTATGATTGATCAGTGATAGCCTCAAGTATAATATATTATATGCAAGAGTTTTCCTTTCTTCATAACTTGACCACTCTTTGTTGCATTATTGTGGAACACTGTTACCGTTAGGGTAAAATTTTCCATTTTTACTGCCTCTGTATCATTCATTATTATTTTTGATCTCTACTGTTTTTTTTCTATTTGTTCCCTCAACTGAAGTGAGGGTCATATAAAAAAAAATAAAATGAATTTGCTTTCTTGATTGCTTGCACGGGGTCAAAACAGCATCGACTTAAACATCCATCAACGCTCAGATATTGTCCATATTGGGTCTTCATCGAACGAGATTCCTTTAGCTTCAAAGGGTGTGGGTGGTGTGTGAGTGTGGATGTGGATGGGATGTAGGTGTGGGTGGGTGTGGGTGGTGTATGGGTGTGAATGTGGGTGGGATGTAGGTGTGGGTGGGTGCAGGTGGCGTGGGTGTGGATGTGTGGGTGTGGGTGAGTGTGGATATCAGTATCGTCTTGTCTACAAACATCCACACCCACAGCCACACCATTCGCATCCCATCCACACCCACACCTACACCCCATACCCACACCCACACCACCCACATCCCACTCACACCTACATCCCACCCACACCCACACCCGCCCTTATTTCGTTCTGTTAAAGAACATCTACTTTTTATTGGCAATAATGCAGCCAATATTAGCATCAATGATTCAATATTTAACATTCATGTTCATTATAGCATTCATGTGATTATCGTCTCGTCATTACTGATTCAAACGATAATCATGAACTTTATAAAGTAATATGTAATCTATACTACAAATGTCGTATTTTACAAGATGGGATGGAATTAATTCGATTGAATGGGTAGATTATAAGAATATTTCTCTATGAAACACTTAGCAGTTGTCAATCAATTAACATAGAAAATAATAGGCACAATGTTCATTGTGTCTAACAAGTGTAAAGTAATACTTTTCCATGCGGCGTATAGCAATCAACAGCCGCTAGAAGAGCTTGCTCCATTCAAAGTTTTTAACATACATTCCATCAATCTCACATATTCAATCAATATCCTTAAACAACCTCTTTTCAAACCTGCATTTCTCATTGCAATGAGCATCATAATTGATGGTGTATCATGAACATCAAGCCAAGAAACTCGAAAAACTATTGACTATTGTCTTTATGTTCTTAACTAATTTTACGTTTCTATTTAAACTGTTCAATAAAAACATATGAATTTATATGAGAAGATTTATGGTAATGATTGTATAGCAAACATAAAATCGAATACAAAAGGATGTGGATACAATTGAGATCAAGATTGAATAGAAATGGCTTAGATCCAACGAAATGAAACAGAAAGATCATTTATTTTGTAAAGGCAATTCATTTTCTAAAATCCTTTGAGACAAATGTTGATTCATGACAGTGCATCTGAATCATCTTAATCTTCAAATTTTCTACGAACAAATTTGTCAAAGTTGACCTTTAGACAGTTGCTTAAATATTTGAAAAGAGATAATCTTCTGTTTTGATGCCAACTGACAAAGATAGGTGTGGATGTCGGCGAAGCAATGATCCACACACATCACCCACATCCACCCCACTCCCGCTCCCACTCACAACCACACTGAAGTAAGAAACGGTGTCAGTGGATATCAACATCGATGTTCACATGGACATTGATCATTCCTAATTATTTTGTTCTAATCAAGTCATCAACAAACTTTAGTGTCGAGACAATTTTGCCTTGACAATGAATGATCGATCTCGAGAAACTGTTCTCCCATACATGGCACCAATCTTTTGAAATGGTGTGCATTCGACGCTTTCACAGCCAAATCCATTGAATATTCGATGTATCTCTTGCTCATCATCAAGAGCGAAATGTATCATAGGAACAAAGTTTCGTAATTGAGTTGATGCAACATCGAATACGATACAAGAATCACTTGCTGACAATTGTCGAATTCGTTCGAATAGTTTTCGAATATCTTCCTCGGTTAAATAGTGAAAGAACCCTTCAGCAAGCCAAATCGTTGGCTGATCTGTATTGAAACCATGTTCAACTAGTTTCGATGACCACTCTTCATCTGCCAGATTACAAGCAATTTCAGTAACTTTGTGATTCGTCGCAAATGAACGCGGGTCGAGTTGTTCAAAACATTTCTGTCGATAGATAAGTACTCCTGATACGTCTAATAGATAGAATTCGAAAGTTTGTGAGCTGTTGATTAGAGACAATCGAAAGGGACGAAAGTCACCACCACAAGCAAGTATGACACATTGTCGATTCGTACTGCTGGCTTGTTCTAATAAATCATCAATATAGCGTGTACGCACGGCAGTATCATTCGTAATGGATTCTATTGTCGTGTTCTTCATACGAGCTAAGATTTCGATACCTTGTGGACCAAATTGACCGGCATAGATATCTGCAAATGGATCTTGAAAAAGTGCATCGCATCGTTTTGATTCAACTGCACGACCAGTGGCACTTCCCATTGAAGTTCGACCGACAGGATCATTCTCAATCTTTTCGTAAAATGATGACATACGTCTTTGTAGTCGACGCAAGAAATGTTTGTGTCATGGAGATATTTATTGAATACTGAGATAAGCAAAATTTTTTCGTGTCGCATACACGTATTAGAGTAAAAAACATTTTTTTTCTTGTCCTTTTGGCGTGCGATATGTTTGCTATGTGTCGAAAAGCAACAAGCAACCTTCTTAGTGATAGATCTCATGTACGTTTATCGTTGTGAATTATATTGACAGAGTATTTCCTTTTACTTCAATTGCGTATGTCATTCCTAGGTATCATTACTATATGAGATGTATTTTAGCTCGCAACGGGTAGCTCATAAATATTTATCGTCTCACTAGACTTTTCAAGTATAACTCTCATGATGGATTATATAATTCATGCAATTTTATCGATGTTGACTCCTGATCGTTTACTTGTTTTGCCTAGTTGCGAGGCATGCATTTATTCGTCCTTAATAAAAAAAATATTTATTGACTTTTTGTCAATCTTAAATCGATAGACTTACCTTGAATCTGTTCCTTATCCTATCCACTCATATAATGGCTGCCTTATTGATGTTTTCTTTTGTGATAAAGATTGAATCATTCTCATGAGCGATTGATACAATATTAGTTGCAATTATACTGTCCGCTGAGCAGTGTTTGACTTAATCTAACTTTCTACGATGCTCATGTGTAAATCAAAATCAACTATTGGATGAGTTACTGGTTATTTGACTGTTCTGAGCGGCTACGGATAGCGCCAAGTAGATGAAATCTGTTTCAATTAGGTAGGAATGAATACCAGTGAATCAGGATGGATCCAAAGATCCAAATGAACTTGTCGTCCATGAATATAAGTGCATTTCTTATAGTGAAAATGCTAGGTATCAATTTACTTTCGCTTTAAAACCCAGTAGTCTGGCAGAAATATGGATATATTCACAACTGCTCTTCGAAAATTAATAGAGGTTACATAAAAATGATGACCGAAATAGAAAACATTCGTGATATTCTGAAAATCAAGATCTCGATTAACATAATTTTTACGAGTTATAAGTCAGTTAGTCTAGTCGTTTATCGCATGAAAAGAACTATTCAGGAGAGAGAGAGATTAAGAAAAACAAAACCAACAATGGTTTACTGATCGAACATTGAGATGAAGTTACTTTTGAGCATCGATCTCGAGTTTTGTAGATACTCCAACATGCTGCATAAGCCATTTTGTGTGCTATTGCATGTTGTTCAAGCATGCCAATAAACAAATGACTTCATGGTCCATAAGTATACACCGGAACATCTTCACCACCGTATGTTTCAGAAACCAAAGGTAGAGTTGCCGGTGAACGATAGTCAGTCGAGTTCATGTTTAATGAATATAAACAGGTTGCATTTCGAAACGAATTAAAATAAGGTCCATTGTCATAGGCAATGATGTTCACTGGTGCATGATCAATATTACTCGTATTTACTTGTTCGAATGAACCAAAACTCAAAATATCTGAACCACGCAATGAATAAGCACCAGATGTAAATACGTGCGAATGATCAGCTGCGACAATAATGAGAGAAGGATCTCTTGGTTTGTTCGATAGTATAATCGAATTCAACGAATTCATCAAGTGCAAGACTTGTCAGTGTATCATGATATACAAGATCAATGCGCCCACCTTCAACAAGAAGAAAAAAAGCCTTGATCGAATTACGTAGATCAAGTTAGCATCAGATTCGAGTAAAACTTGGGTGTGGGTATTGAAAAATAAATGACCCGCATCCACACCCACATTCATTCCACCCTGATCTCTCAGAGACGCAAAAATATGATTGTACTCGGAGATATACGACAAGAGATAGTTATTTTGACAGCAACTCAAGACAATATAAGAAGAGGATTATCAGTATCTGATGAGGAGAAATTTTCAACTTAAGACATGATACTATATCGGCAGCTCTTTAATTAACGAAGCAATTCCGTCGAATCAGATGGAATTCCATGATAGATGTGACCAATCTAAGAACTTCGTCTCACTTCGACGATTGTCTTACGCTTCGAACTAATTAATTATTCATTGTCAGACTTACATCCCAAGCATCTTCAAGGTCAAGATTATGCTATGAGAAATCGAGCTCATTTTTTCTGGACTTGAAAAAGTTGCCAAGACCATGACAGAATGATGAATTAAAAAGAAAACAGAAAAAACGAGGCTGCGTGCAATGCCAGGCTTACATCGACTGATTACGTTAGTGCACAAAATAGGCGAGTCTGATAAGACCCAAGAGATCTGTGATCGATTACTGGAAACTACATCAAAGAACACTACAATTTTCAGTTGTTCTTCGGTCAGTTTAAAGCTCTTAATCATTCACGAGCTACCCCTGTACGAATTCCGAGTTGAACAGTACAAAAATAAAACTTTTCTCATGCTTATTTTATAAAATAGTCAGAATCATTCATCCAGAGCTAATATCCAGGATTTCAAATTCAAGTCCCCATACTCCTTTTTTTTCTAGCTATTGTTTCAATGATGCCTATTATCATATTTGAAATTTCATGAAGTCTTCGTTCCATAATGAAAATTTGCCTTGCAGACTGTAGCATATTGACTAGACAAACTCATTGACAATATTCTTTCTCAACATCGTTCTTTTTTTCCTTCATTCTTAGTATTCTCTCTGTCGGCTGTTCTTCAACATACTGTCTCCATTCCAGCTGTTCATGCATCATATAATCAAGTTTATTAGCATAGGTAAGATAATCTATTCTCTTGCGATCGGACGAATTTCATCAGTACTGTTGATGACAAAATTAAGTTCGTATTGCGCAAGTCGACTAGAAAATTCCAAAATAAATAACTACTGACAGTAAGTATTTCAAAAACTGTATTATTATTTATTTAAATCATTCGACATTAATTGATAAACCATACAATGAAAAACATCAAACATATTTGAACAAAATTAATCGATAGACTACTAGAAATGCTCTTTAAAAATTTATCAAAATTAAACTTAATTGTGCTCTTCTCATTAATCCGATCACCAATGCTAAGTGAATTGCAATCAGGTCTTTGACAATCGATACTCCAGGCAGTAGATCGTGTTCGACTACTCATATCAAGTCTCACTTGGTAGGACAATTTCTTAGCTTGAGGGAAGTTTGTTCGGCATGTTGCACTAATTTCTCTTTCTTCTGGCTCGTTTCTCACAATAGTTGAACATTGTTTGCAAGTCGCTGGATCAATTGAACTTGCTGAATTATGCTGAACACCAGTTGAATTTGAGAAAAATAGACACCATCGACCATCGAATGTTTCATTCGATTGGAGAAGATATTCGAGCTCCTCGAATTGATCTGCTAGTGTTAGCGATCCTAGTAGAGGTTTTAAATTGACTGGATCGTTGCATTTATCAGTTAAACATATATATCTGATAGAATTTCTTACACGTGGTCGAAATGGGTCCTCAGGCGCAAAAAGCCGAACATCTAAGCGGTGAGCCAGTCCACTCGATCTCCAAGGATCGTAGCTTGTTAACCAAATAGTGGTCTTATCTGGATTTCTCTCCCAAGATATGTCAGCTTGGCAATACCATTGATCGGTTGCCAATGAGCAGTTGTTTAATTGTGTTGGCATGTTTTCCGTTGTAATCTTATGATCAAAAATATTCGCGCCAGGACTACATCGATAACAGGATAAATTACAGTGCATTGGATGCAGTAAGGCGAATATCACAAATAGATGAATAAATATAATTTATTGTGAATAGATTTCAAAGTGAGATATCTAAATGTTGTCGTTTATGAAGACTCGTACGATAAGGTTGCCTAAACGAAATATATGAATCAGTCGTGCTTTAGTTTGTGCGTCATTTAACTTACCACTCACGCAAGTAATGTTGTTGAGAGTCCAGTAAAACTAAGTGTCAGAATGAGAAAAATCTCAAGCAAGGCTCCAACATGCATTGGTGTGTTTGTTTTTGTTCACGTGAATATTGGATGACAGATAGCAGCCAATGAGAAATAGCTTCAATACGTGGCAGCAAAATGCGGTGCTTGTGTAGGACTCTTAACTGCGAAGAACTATGTTAATATTATCATTCTTGGTACGTAAAGAACAGCATCTAGACATAAGAATTCTCTGTGTTTATATCTGCAGCAAAGTTTTTAACGAAAGTCACATATGAAATAAGTGGTTGAGATTCTGATCGAGCGAGTTGAATGTTTCTTCCTCTCACAAATACAGAATCGTCCTACCAATACGAACTAGAGTTCCGAAAATTCAAAATTTTGATTTTTGAAGTTTTCAAACTTCTCTGTTGACTTTGACAGTGATACATGACATTCTCAATCATAATAAGTACAATATATTTTGTAGTGTCTTCAATAATTTGAAAATACTACTTGAACATGGCGTATGTTGATGTATATCAATTTAAATGATTTTATAGTTACTTTTACAAAGATGGTTTTGCTGATATTTTGGTGAACGTAATTAGTCCACATAAAAGCAAAAACATTCTATTATACATTTTTATATTCGTTCTAATTGGCGATCTATGAGAAATTACACGAAGATTCATTTTTATCAGTTTTTTGGAGGAAAAAGTCTTGAAGTATATTTCTGCATAGAATTCTTGCCATCAAACACTGACGTGTCATTACTACTTGTAAAGAAATTTTTGCATGTCTCATTCATTTTAGAAACCTTTTTGTCTCCAATATGAATAATCTGATTGTCAAATTCGACACAATTTTATTGGAATTTGATGAAATTGTTCTTTGTGGATTCGAACGATTGTTATCAAAATAGCTTTGTTTGTTTTCTTGAATTATGGAAGATAGAGGAAAATCATTTCACATATATTTAGAATGATAGACGTATATATATATAATTGTATTTTTTTTAATTTGAATAAGAAATTAACAAGAGTAATATTAGCAACGCGTTTCGAATATTTCTTCTTCGTCATACTATACCAATAAATACAATAAAGAAAAACATAATATAGAACAAGACATAAAAAATGAAAGCAAAACCAAAAATAACAGGTATTTATGGGTGTGAGTGTGAGTGTGGGTGTTTGTATCCTAGAATTAAAGACCCACACCCTCATACCCACATCTTCAGATCCAAACACACACCATCACACTCACACCCTCCAAGATATCTTCCATCTGATCCGCAGCGTATATTACAACAATTAGGTAATATGTTTAAAAATAAATTTCATCTGAACACTACTACAGTAGGAATTGGTGGATGTAGACTCAATGATACAAGTAATTGCTCGTATGAGTTTCAATTATTTATATTTAAATGCCAACTTAAATTAGCAGCTGAATTAAAACTTCCAGTTGTATTTCATAATTGTGGAATCAATTCATTTGAAATAACGCTACGCGAGCTGAAATTACATTTGAACAATACCCATAAAATTCATTGGCATTGTATCAATTCAAAAAGCGATTTAAATATTATATCAAATTTTCTTAATTATTTTAAAAATTCTTTGATTGGTTTAAATGGATCAATGACAACACCATACGACAACGATTCTAAAAGAATCTTCAACAATTGGTTACTTACACAACAAGATATTTTAGATCGCATAAGAATTGAAGCAGATTTTCCTTTTCTACGACCATCCACATTAGAAACCAATCAATATAATCCAATTAGCGGGATAACAACTGGAGCACAACATATTGTTAATATGTTACGAATCAAAAAACTGAACGCTACAAAAATCATTGATCGATCCAATAATAATATGCGACGAATGTATGGTATTAATTAACTTTATAAAAGAAACACTTACTTCTTTAGATCGATTACTATGCATCTTTTCCTCATTTCTAGAACCATTTCTGCTTGAATATATGTTGTCCTTACTCCTTTGCTGTTAATCTGTATTTTTTACATGTTAGTGTGATATATATACAGTGTTATTTTTCTCTCGTTTTTTTTCTTCCTCTACTATTGATGTTTTATATTTGTTATACATGTCTTACTCTTTTTTTTCTGGTTATATTCCTCTAACTGTGAACCAGGTACAACATGGCACAGTACAATAAATTTTAAAAAAACACTTACTTCCTTCACTTTTTGTTACTTTTCTTCTTCTTGTAATTTTGTTATTCTCTGCATTTATTTGTTAATATATCATAAAATAAGCATCAAAACTCTTTTGAATAACAAACTCCTGATCGTGTACTCATTATAACAACTATCGTATAATTATCAATTTTGCTCACACAATTTGTGAACATAACCTAACAACTCAACATTTCATGATTTCTAACATCTACTCGAATCACAATATAAACATTTGCCTTTTACAATATCAAATGGAATAAATATAAATGTTTGATTTTTATACTATTGATGCAAATTTATATATACCTTTGATTATTATAAAATCAATTGGAATTAATATAAATATTTGTTTTTGATATTAAAAGTTGAGTTTGATTAAAAATCACATACTTTTTCTTTTTTTTTTAATCAATTTATATAAGTTATTCGCATGTTTCATTATACAATTTTAAAATTTTTCTATAACTTTGATCAAGATAATAGTGTGATGTAAAGAATCGGTTGATGAAAAAGAAAATGTTAGTGTAGAATATAAAACGAGTTTTTGATTAAATACTTATTCCTATCATAATGTTTCTTTTCAATGAGAAATAAAAAAAAAAAGAAATATTTCGTGTTGAACAACGTGTCAGTCTGTTTGAATATTATTGCCGACATTGACCATTTGATTGTATGAACTGTTCTTTTTATTATTTATTGAAATATTCCTATGATGTTGTTCTTTTCTCTTTTTTCTCATTTGTTATATAAATATAATGAATGCTTTTCTATTGTCATTCTTGACAATGTGTTCCAGATAAGGACACAAAAGCTCGAATCTTCCTTTTTGTATTTCTGTTTGAAATAAATATTTAATAAAATGTTATTTACAGCAGTTATCTCTTTCTTTTCTTATCACTGGAGAAATGATCAACGAGCAGTAGGAACATTGTGAGAAAGTATAGTCAAGCGAACGAGCTCTCTCACTTGCATGGCTGTCATCTGAAGACTGGATTGTTTTGCTAAATGTCAACATCTCAAAGTTGCATTACTCAAACATTTTTGTATTTTTCTAGTGATGGCAATGTGCTGATGCGATTTGCAGTGTTTCTCTCTTTCTCTTTGACTTCCACTTATTCAGTCGCTGGATGTTTTTTCAAGGGGAGTACTGTAATGGCATTAAGTAAATAGAAATTTCTTACTGCCTGAGAAACGCCAATCAACGTGTTCGCTGTTTTTTCGACACGTAAAAGTGTTTGAGTAAGACACAAAATTTTATTATTTTGTTTTCTAAGTGTGATCTAACGGTAAGAAAAAAAGTTATGCCTTGAAATGAAACAATATTTATTCTCACAAGAAGACCTGTGCCTACCCTAAAATAGGGTTGACTTGTGTTTTTCAAAAAGAAATGGATGATTTCAGGAGATTTATATCACTTTCTTGGAAGGAGTCTTGGATTTTCATTTTTATCTTCTGGTTCATCCGAAGACAGTCTGAAATGCATCCAGCAAATAAACATCACGAACTTGTTCAATGAATTTTGAGCAACTGTCAAAAACACGAAGTACATGTACAATTTATTATTGTTAGATTTTATTCCATATACGTATATTTATTACTGATCGCTCGCAAATAAATTTCGATCATGTATCTAGCTTTTATACTTTGAAAAGAGTCAAGAATACGAATGATTTTGAAATCTATCAACTAAAGTCAAATATTAAGGATCCTCCACTATAGAATTCATCATTAATTTTTGCTCGAATATGCATGGAAAAGTTTTTTCTTTTTTTCAGGATAAGTGAATTGAGATAAAAAAGAGTGTGCATGTTTGTCCTATTTTAACTGTAAATAATTCATCTCTTTTGTACAGATTTCAGATGAGATCAGCTCAAATCTATCTCTATAAAACATGCGTACTATTCGATGAGATAAAATTTCGTAGTTTTGTATGGAGTATCCTATATCTCTAAGTCTCATTACAATCATATGAACAATCTGGTTCAGTGAATCAGCTTACTGTCTCTATAAGAAATGAGTGTGAGCTAAAAATGCATTGGTCAAGTTCGTAATTTTTATTTGCTGGATACATTTCAGATTATCTTGGGATGAACCGGAAGATAAAAATGAAAGTCCAAAACTCCTTTCAGAAAAGTGATATAAACCCTATGGAATCATCCAAATATAAGAAATGTAGAATATCAAACTTAGATACGAAATGTTGGATGATAATTGAATATAGTAGGAATATTTCATTCGATTCTGAATTGCACCAAACATTGATCGTACCAACTTCTCAAGGTTTCTCTTGACGTATTTCGATGGTACGAATCCATTTCTTCGCTAGTATAGGGTGTGGATGTTGGAATTAGTATTACGTAACACAAACCCATACCCATATATATACCGTCTATTATTGTCGTTGAACACAGCTTTTACTTATCCAAATCTCTTGTGTACTGATTTCTAAGCGTAGTCTTGTATAGGTTTATCTTTTATGTCAACGAAGATCTTTAGAGAAAACATAATAAAACTTTTTTATATTGATATTTAGGCCTCACAACCAAAATGGTGGATGAGTCTTGCAATCCTTACCGTTTCTCCGACATAGCCGAAGAACCTATGCAAAGATTGCCACCCATTCGAGGCTTCGAAAATACGCCACTCGTATCTCTGAAAGAAGCTACACAGTCTCTAATACCACATGTCCCAGACATCGAACATATGATTGACGTTATTCGAGGAAAAAATATTCAGCCACACAATGATTTAACGATTGACGAATCTTCATCGATTGCATTGTACTCAATGGAATGGGAACCGCGAAAGAACTCATTCTATATCATATTAAATGACACGTTACGACATTCAGATCGAGAACAATTACTACTTCCGTGGTTCAAATTTTTAAAGCTTTTTCTAACAGCTCTTTCAAAACTACCATTAGCTGGTCATCGAACTATCTATCGAGGAGTCAAATTAGATTTGCGAGAAAAGTACAATGAAGGCACACAAATTGTTTGGTGGGGATTCTCTTCGTGTACAACAACTGTTAAAGTTCTTGAAAACGATTCATTTTTTGGAAAGCGTGGCACAAGAACTTTATTCGCTATTGAATGTGACACAGGAAAAGAAATTCGTGAGCATTCATTCTATCGAAAGGAAGATGAAATACTTCTTCTTCCTGGTCGAGAATTCGAAGTCGTTTCTTCGGTGTACATGGGTCATAAACTAACAATGATTCAACTCAAAGAAATCGTACCCCAATTTCCGAACATAGCTTCTATTATATCATCGAAATATCCAGCGATAGCTCCTAGCCTCACCACTATCGTGCCAGTCACTGAAACAGAAGGACCAAAACCAGCTCTTCAATTCGAGACTGTAATACAATCGATGAAAGCTTCTTATAAAAGCAAGAGTATAACCGATGCAGACATCGAACGTGCTATGGAGGATGCACTCGTACAACAACAATGTATAGAACTCGATTTATCTTGGAACGAGATTACACATGAAGGTGTTGCAAAGTTAGCTAAGAAGCTACGAAATAATACAGTAAGAAAGTTATAAGTGCAGGTGTGAGTATAGATGAAGATAAAATTGATACCCACACCTTGTGATGTTATATTGATATATGCACGCAAGAAAATCATTTAATTCTTTATTTGAATAAATGTGTCAACTTAAATACATTCATTCTGTCTGTATAGTATGACAATTTTAACGCTTAAGAACCTCATTAATATGGTCGCTAACGATCCATTGGTTGAAACTTTTTATGAGGATCATATTTTCTACGCTCAACATAAATAGTATTAAAGAATCGTAAAGTTTCTCTCAGTAATAGTAACATTGCAAAGTCTGTGTTTTCGTCAGAATAGCATTACATAGTTTTAGAATATTTCATAATGGGATCAAGCGTGATTGAGATGCTGGTTTGTCTTTACTTTATTGGTTGCAGCTAAGCAAAATTATTTACTATATTATCAAAAGAGTACGATAAAATAAAAGTAAATCATAGTTATTGACATCTATTTATCAATTTTCCAATTTAGTATGATACAATGAGATAAATAAAATGAAAAAGTTTGTTATCACAGCTCCTTTGGGGATGAAATATGAAACTCGCCTATTTCTCATAACGTACAATATTCATTGACATTTAAAACTAGTTGCTAAGATCTGTAATAGAAGGGAGGGGGGGAGGGGGTGCCTATCAACATACACAGGCAGAAACGCATTTTATTTTATTTCGTATGACATCGTTTCAGTTAAAGGAACAGAAAAAGATCTTAAGATGCTCTGCTTGTTATGTTCATTAATTGGCATTGTTGGATCATTCACAGGCGTACGACAATCAGAATTTTTTCTTCTATCATTGTGTTATTCATCATACTATGGTACTGTTTAAACATTGCCACATAGACACTCACTGCACTCAACCTTCAGGCCAATCGAATTGATACTATTGGAGCACAACATCTGGCTGATACATTACAATATAATAACGTGACCTATATTCTCTCATCATCTCTCTTATATCTCCTTCGGCGTTTTTTCACACAGACGCTCACGACACTCGATCTTTACAACAATCAAATTGGAGACAATGGAGCACAACATCTAGCTGATGCATTACGAAATAATAAAGTGAAATTCATTCTATTTGCATTTCTCGCTTACCCTCTCTGTATTTTTTCCATAGATACTGACGACACTAGATCTGGGCGCCAATGGAATTAAAACTCTTGGGACACAACACCTGGCTTCTGCATTACAAAATAATACAGTAAGCCTCATTTTCTCTTGATCTCTCTCATATTCTTGTCTACACTTTTTTGACACAGACACTCACGACACTAGATTTCACAGGCAACCAAATAGGACACAAAGGAGTGCAACATCTAGCTGATGCATTACAAAATAATACGGTAACAGTTATTCTCTTCTCATGTGTCTCGTATTCCCACCTTCGCTTTTTCACATAGACACTCACCACACTATATCTCGGTGGCAATCAAATCGGAATTCTCGGAGCACAATATCTGGCTGAAGCATTACGACATAACACGGTGATTTTCGTCTGCTTTTCGGGTCTCCCATATATTTATCCGTACTTCTTTACATAGGCACTCACCACATTATATCTAGGTGGTAATCAAATTGAAGCTTTCGGAGCACAACACTTAGCTGATGTATTTAAGAAAAATACGGTTATTCTCATTCTCTCTTCACGTCTCTCACATACCCATCCCCACCCTTTTAAATAGACACTTACCACACTAGATCTAATAGGCAATCAAATTGGAGACAAAGGAGCACAATATTTGGCTGATGCATTACAACAAAACATGGTGATCCTCGTTCTCATTTCATCTCCTCATATCTCGAGTTTTACTTTTCACATAGACACTCACTACACTCAACCTTCAAGTCAATCTCATCGGAGATAAAGGAGCACGACGTCTGGCAGATGCATTAATAAATAATACAGTCGCTCTCCTTCTCTCTTCATTTTTCTCACAAATTCATCTGCATTTTTTCACACAGACACTAACAACACTCGATCTCCACAATAATCAAATCAAAGAGAAGCTTGAATATCGTTTGAAGGAACTGATAGAGCGGAATAAACAACGAACAAAATCATGAACACTGGTATTAATGTTAGTTTGGTCGAAAATTGAGCCACATGTTGAATATGCAACTTCTTCTTTTTCATGTTTCTGTACGCAAACGATAATAAGGGTTTTTGTTTTTCGATGTTATGTGCTTGATGATAATGATATCACAGCAGTTTTACTAGAGGGAAAGAACGATGACAAGTCAATGACTTATTTTTTCAAGTAATGCTGCACATTTATCTCTAGTAAAAAAATGTAGTATGTGTTGAATATGTCCTAGGCAAATATAGGGCGAAGTAGATAGACTATTAACTTCGAAATGTTGCAGACAATGTTTTTTGTTTGGCTTGGAAAAATTATGATGTAAATACTTGAGTCTACCTCAGATTTAAGATTGTTTGAGTAGGGTGTGGAGTGTGAGTGGGTGTGAGTGTACATGAAGACAAGACCTACAATCAGACCCTTACACCAACACCCACATCCACATTCACTTCTCTTCTTCAACAACACCCACACCCACACTCACACCCACTTCTCTTCTTCAACAACATCCACACTTACTTCTCTTCTTTAACAACACCCACACCCACCACATAATTACAAGAATGATCCCTCTAGCATTATTGCAACAAGAGTTCGATTTCCTTCTTGTCTCACCTGAATAAATGATATTCGAAAAAGCCTATCTGAAAGATTGCTATGAATTACAATATAGAAGATGAAAAAGTACAAATTAAAGAAAAACATCAACTTTTTAATCAAGTATAACCAAGTTAGTCCGATGCCATTTTATTAATAGACTTTCATAAAAATATTTGGCATTAGATAAAACTAATATTTTTCATTCATGATAAAATTGCCTTTTTTTTTTAATGGCTTCATTCATATCTTACAGACGTAGGACATCTTAAGGCCCGCATTCAAATATTTCTTGAAACAACTCGCTCAAAGCAACTTTCCAAACTAGCAGGTGATACTAGTGTCAAAGATGAAAAAAGTACTGCAACCTGCTTGAGATCGTGGATTTCCGCACAAGTTTGTCACTAAAAAGTAAAACGGCTGCTAAAAGACATCTATGTTCATAAAAACACTTATGCATTCGCACACTCATTTGTATTCATTGTATTCATACATTTATGCATTATTGCAACAAAATAGTGAACCGAAAGAGAAAATTCAACAAAAGTTATTGTTCAAATTACTACATTTATGATTTGAACATATATCCTCAATAAACATTTGTACCAAGTATTCAATTCAGTTTATTTTAATCAAAGCACAGAAGTAACATAGATAGAGTGGATAGACATAATTAAATAAAAGAGAACAAACAGTGAAAGTAAAAGAAAACAACACGATAGTAGATGCAAGAACGCCTTAATAGAATTAAAATGTTTGGTAGTAGTCATATATTACAACAAGTTTTATGTGCTGAAAGAGTTTTTCTTATTTTATTCTGTTTGCAAGATCAGACGAAATGGTCTACTTCGATTTCAGGCTCTGAGATATGTAGTTAAAGTGAAAGTATACGTTAGTATGCCGCTGAAGTCTTTATATTTTGGAAATTTTTATCAATCATCTTTAAAATGTAAAAGTTTTGTATGTCTTTCTATACAATTCTACTGCA